GTTTTTCTCAGTCTTACCCCCACCCCAATGCCAGCCTCATTCTACAACAGTGGCACCATATAGCATTTGTCCCTTTGTGACTGAGATACCTCACTCAGCACCCCGTCTTCATCCGTGGCTCTTTCTTACTCCTTACCTTCATCCTGGATCCTCACCTTCCGCAAAGAGAACCAAGCATTTCCTTAATACCCCAGGTCCAGCCCCTCACCCCTCCTTCCTTACCTTTGGTTCCCATGGGTGTGGGGCAGTCTTGGGGCACAGAGGGCAGAATCCGTGTATAATAGCTCATATTGGAGAAGGACTCCCAGCTGATGTAATCATGTGCTGAGTTGTAGGTTGGGGGACTGGGAACCAGCTTGGAACGAACTGCAGAGTGTGAAAATACTGATAGTAAAGGGCGGGGTGGGGGGGTGTCTCAGCATAATTACATCCCCTCCCCCTCCCTTCTCAAGCTGGGACTTGCCTTATCTGGCGTCATAACATCTCCCCACCCATTGTCCATATCGGATGCCAAGTATGTGCAGGGTTTACGGCTCTAATGTTCCCAGGTTAGGGGTACACTGCCCCACGTACCCGTAAGTACCATACGCATGAGCATGTCACGGATGAAGGTGGCATTGATAAACTCCCAGATCCAGCGCCCGTGGGTCAGCAGGAAATGGAGAAAAGCTGGGCTGGGGCGCAACGTATCCCGGAGCCAGGTCCACAGCTCAGCTGCAGGAGCAACGAGAGCCACTTAGCAAGCCCTCCTGGCAGGGTAGAAGATGGAATTTGGGGACAAGGATGGGACAGGAGTACATACAGGACAGGGAAGTAAGATCGGTCAAGGAACACTCCCTGCAAAGCCCAGAACTAGCTAGGAGAGTGTGCTGAGGATGGGGTATGTCAGGGAGACATCAGAGCCTGGAAGGGAACAGAATGGAGCTGTGTGGGGGATTGGGAGGAGGATCCCAGGGGAGAGGAGGTGGGTGGGGGGAGGCCCAGCTCACGGACGGTGCAGTTGGGGCCAGAGTAGCCCGTGCGGGTGCAGTCACACTGGTAGAGATCGAGGCCAAAACGGACACAGACACCCTGGTGCTGACATGGGTAGTAACAACAGGGGTTCACTGTGGGTGAGAAATGAGGAGAAAGAGTTCAGAGTGGGTGCCCAGACCACCATCCTTCCCTGAACACAAGAATAGAGGGCCATAGTTATGGATTCAAGTCTTAGCTTTGTCCTAGGTAAGTGAGCAGACCTCTCGACTTCACATTCTTCTGTTGCCATAGCAATGAGCATATTCCCTGGGCCTGTCATTGCCAGACCCTGCTCTGGATGCCCAGGCTTGCCCACATCAGGTCCTGAGAAGGGTCCCCCTTCCCATCTTTCTGCCACCAAAGAATGCTACTCCAAAGTCCTGGTCATGGCATCAAAAGTTAGGAACTAGCTGTTAAGATGCTGTAGCTATGCACTTCTACAACATTCATTTCCTCTCAAACAAGGGCTCTATCTTCTCAGAGTCAGCCATAGCTTGTGATCCACACAGTAAAAAGCCTTTGCATAGTCAATGAAGCACAGTTAGACATTCTTCTGGTATTCTTTGCTTTCTGCTAAGATCCATCTAACATTAGCTATAATATCCCTAGTACCATGACCTCTTCTAAATCCAGCCTGCACATCTGGCAGTTCTTTGTTGACATATTGCTCCAATCGTTTTTGGATCATTTTCAGCAGAATCCTGCTTGCATGTGATAGTAATGATATTGTTTGATAATTTCTGCACTCTGTCGGGTCCCCTTTCTTTGGAATAGGAACAAATATTGATCTTTTCCAGTCAGTTGGCCAACTGGCTATCCTCCAGATTTCTTGGACAACTTAGTAAGCACATCCAGGGCAGTGTCTGTTTGTTGAAATATGTCAATTGGTATGCCATCAACTTCTGGAGCTTTGTTTTTTGCCAATTCCTTCATAGTAACTTGAACTTTCTCCTTCATCACCACAAGCTCTCGCTCATATGTTATTTCATGAAATTTTTCTATGTTGGCCAATTCCTTCTGATACTGGACTCTGGATGACTCTGACAAGAATGGGAATCCCAGAACATTTGATTGTGCTTATGAGAAACCCATGCTTGGACCAAGAGGCAGTCGTCAGAACAGAGCAAGGAAACACTACGTGGTTCAAAATCAAGAAAGGAGTCCTTCAGAGATGTATTTTGTCTCCATACCTTTTCAATCTGTATGCAGAACAGATCATCTGAGACGCTGGGCTGTACGAGGAGGAATGTGGCATCAGGATTGGTGGAAGAGTCATCAACAACCTGCGTTTTGCAGATGACTCAACCCTGCTTGCTGAAACTGAGGAGGACCTGAAGCGCTTGCTGCAGAAGGTCAAGGACTGCAGCGTTCAATACAAATTGAATCTCAACATCAAGAAAACAAAGATTCTCGCCCTTTCCCTGGATCCTGCAGGAGATGGGTGCCCCTGTCAACACATTGTCCTTTGGCTACCGGACATCATGCCTCCCAAGAAAGATGTTCCTGTGAAGAAACCAGCGAGCCCTGCTACCTGAAAGCCCCTTGCGAAGCCAGCATCCGGGGCCCTTCCAGCCAAGGCCAAACAAAGCTGAGCCAGCTGCCTCTCCAGCTCCTGAAAAAACCCAGGATCTCTCCAAAGTGGTGATTGAGTTTAACAAGGACCAACTGGAGGAGTTCAAAGAAGCCTTTGCGCTGTTTGACCGAGTAGGTGATGGCAAGATCCTGTACAGTCAGTGTGGGGATGTCATGAGGGCCCTGGCCCAGAACCCCACCAACTCCAAAGTGCTTAAGGTCCTGGGGAACCCCAAGAGTGATGAGTTAAAGTCCCGGCATGTGGACTTTAAGACTTTCCTGCCAATGCTCCAAGCAGTGGCCAAGAACCGGGACCAAGGCACATATGAGGACTACTTGGAAGAGCTTCAGGTGTTTGACAAGGAGGGAAACAGCAAAGTCATGGGAACAGAGCTCAGACATGTCCTCACCACACTGGGAGAGAAGATGACCGAGGAGGAGGTGGAGACTGTCCTGGCAGGACATGAGGACAGCAATGGCTGCATCAACTATGAAGCCTTCCTGAAACACATCCTAAGCATCTGAACACTGCAGCTCCCCTAGGGCCGGACAGTGACCCCTTCCAAAACCACGCCACCCCACCCTACCCCCACCCTGTGCAGGCGGAAGCACCCTCTGGCCACTTAGGATGCAACCTGTTGTTTCAAAATAAAGACAGTTCCTTCCTCAAAAAAAAAGAGAAAAATAAAAAAGAAAAAGATTCTCACCAGTGGGACAATTGGAAGCATCAGTATGGATGGTGAAGAGGTTGATATAGTTAACAGTTTTAGTTTACTTGTTCCACAGTCAACACTCTTGGTAGCAGCAGCCAGAAAATCAAGAGATGAATTGCACTGGGAAAGGCAGCTGTGAGGGACCTCTCAAGAGTACTGAAGAACAACAACATCAGGCTGGAGACTAAGGTGCACCTGATCCAGGCTATAATCTTCGCAATTACGTGCTACACATCAGAGCATTGGACATTGAATAGGGATGATAGAAAGAGAATTGATGCCTTTGAGCCATGGTGCTGGAGAAGAGTGTTGAACATACCATGGACTGCTAGGAGAATAAACAGGTTTGTCCTGGAGAGGGTGAACCCAGAATGCTCCTTGGAGTCAAGGATTCTGAAGCTTCGTCTGACATACTTTGGGCATGTTGCAGGAGGGACTGATCCTTGGAGAGGCACATCATGTTTGAGAGAGTGGAGGGACAGCGCAGGAGAGAAAGACCCTCGATGAGATGGATTGATTCTGTGATTGGGGTGGTGGGAGTGAGTGTGTTGGAGACAGCGAGGTTGGCACAGGATAGAGCAGCATTTAGGGCTCTTGTACACAGGGTCACTATGAGTCGCAAGAAAGGCTCTATAGCAAGGACAGGGTGTGTGGGCTCAGAAAAGGGAAAAGAATGGGGGTTACTCCTAGCTTAGCCCCATGCTGGGTGAGCCTCTGGACTCAAAGATAATGAGGGCTCTCACTCATCCCTTCATTCTTTTTTTTTTTAATTTTTATTGTATTACTTTTACGTGTACCGTCAAATCAGATCTGACTGGTACAGGAGGAGATTGCCCCCACATTCTCCAGCAGAGCATCTGGTGCATTTGAACTGTGTACCCCTGGGATTGCAGTGCAGCATCTTGCCACTAGGCCACCAGAACTCCCCCATCCCTTCATTCTTGCAGAGCGGAAGGAAGAACGGGCATAAGAAGATCCACTTTGCAGATGAGCAAACTGAGGCCAGAAACGGGAAAATCACTGACTAATCTCTTCATTTCCACCCTACCTCCACAGGCTCAGCAACGAGGCCCAAAGGAAGAAGCGTTCCATAGCTATGGAGACATAGGGTGAGTTTGAGGGGAAGGTGTAACCCCAGAGTCTGTTATCTCAGCTCCAGTTGATGACAGGCCCAGTCTAAGTCCAATTCAAGGTAGGAGTCTAGGCTTAAGCACTCTGAAGTCAAGGGTCAAGGAAACAGGAGAGAAGCAATTGGGAATATCTCCTGAGACAGTGAATGGAACTCTGGTGTCAGCTCATTTGCCTCCTGGAGAAATCTTACAAGGAAATTTCTCCTTGTGTCTGATGACAGCTCAGTCTGCACTGTGAGTCTTCAAACAAAAAACACAGGCTCCTCTAGGTCTTTAGCGAACTCTACTGCCCTGCAGTGCAGAACATTTCCTCACTCTTCAGCCAGGGAAACTAAGGAAGAGGATGAGATGGTCACATGGTCAAGGACAGAGAGCAGAGAAAGGGCTTAGGTCAACCCAAGACTCCTTCCCAATCCTTATACAACAAACACTTGCTCCCTTCTGTAAACTTGTACATACTTCCTTATCTGGGCTCGGAGCCAGTGTCACAGGGAGCCATTATCCTCTACCCAACCTATTATTGAGAGGCAAAAGGGTAGCCACAGGGGAGTGAAATGGTCATCCATGTCAGGGGCCAATGACCACGGGGCATGACCAGCAAGGCCTGACTCCTTGGGTCTCGATGTCATTATTTATAGTTACAGGTCATCTCAGCCCCTACCTCAGAGAGGGCCTCAGCACCACCCCTTTAACACACACACACACCTGAAAACAAACAAGTACAAGAACCATGCAAATAGTTTTGCTTAAGCCTTGGTGACAGACCACAGCAATTGGGCCTCTGTATGGGTTTAGCAGGGGTGTGGGAGGGAGAAGCCAACCGGAAGAGGGCTGGACAAAAATGCCTTATCAGGTTGGCACATGGAGGCCAGCTCAGAGCGGACTATCCAGTAAGTGAGGTAAGCTCCAGCTTGCTTATGCTTATTTACTAAGCTGAGGAGAACAGTTTCCCATAATCCTTCCCATGACTGAAACTATTCTCTACAGACTAGTAAACACGAGCAAGCTCCTCATCCCTGTCAGGGATTAGAGGTTTGAAAAGAAGCAGTAGGAAGGTATAATGGGCATGGAAGAGAAGGTCAGAAAATCTAGAAATAAATCTTTCATGTGCCAAAAGAAAAAATAGGAAATTGTTAAATATAAATGAATAAATAAATAAGCCTATGTTTATCTTGTGTATTAGGTAATTTGCCTCTGATCAGGATCCAGGCTCCCCTACCCCTCCTCTATCCTTCAAGCCCAGAAATGCCAAGGAGACTAAGGATCAACCCTCACAGAGGACCCCGGATCCACCCTTCCCACCCCAAAGAAAGGATTCTTTACCCCTCCCTGAGCTCTCCTCCCTCAATCTCTCCTGCTCACACACTGCTCACCTGCCTGACTCACCTGCCCACAGGCCCTATGCCCCAGTCTGGCTCATAACAGCCTCTGTCACCAGTGGTCTAACAATCGCTAGGCACAGGGACAAAGGCCCATTCCTTCTCTGGGCTCAGTTTCCCTATCCCTACCACAGCTGGAAGGCATCCTGGTGGCACAATGGTTAAGCACTCAGACTATAAAGTTGGCTGTTTGAACCCATTCAACAGCTTTGGGGAAGAAACACTTAGCAAGCTGCACCCGTAAAGATTACCATCTCGAAAACACTATGGGGGTTGTTCTAGTCGGCCACAAGG